GGAAGGAAGGAAGGAAGGAAGGAAGGAAGGAAGGAAGGAAGGATAACAGAAAAACAGAGTTGGAAGGGATCTTGTAGGTCATCTAGTCCAACAGAAAGGAAGGAAGGAAGGAAGGAAGGAAGGAAGGAAGGAAGGAAGGAAGGAAGGAAGGAAGGAAGGAAAGAAGGAAGGAAGGAAGGAAGGAAAGAAGGATCAGAGGAAGGAGGGGACAGGAAATACCGACAATGGAGTATAGTTGTAGCTCCCGGTTGGAATGAGAAATCCATGGTGGTCTCTGAGCTGGGTTGTTTTTCTTGCAGGCTTTTCATGACCACACTAGGGAACATCATCAGTGCTACTCCAGATACACTGATGATGTTTCCTAGTTTGGGTAATGAAACACCTGCAAGGAAATAACCCAGCTCAGGGAGCTATCTAGAGTAGGAAATATAGGGAAGGAAGGAAGGAACAGAAAAGATAAAGAGGGAGGGGAAGAGAAAGGGGAAGGAAAGGAACGAAGGGAAGAGGGAGGGAAGGAAGGAACGAAGGGAAGAGGGAAGGAAGGAAGGAAGGAAGGAAGGAAGGAAGGGAAGAGGGAGGGCAAGAGACAGGGGAAGGAAAGGAAGGGAAGGAAGACTGAAGAGCTGAGAACCAGAACTGGTTTCCGCACCCTCAGGAGTCCCCCTGACCCACAGGATCCTTTGGGGGACGCGCACCCCAGGAGGAAGGGAGACATTCTCTTCCCTCTCAACTTATCACTGCCTCAGGGGAGCAAATTTTGCTTTCCTGTTGACGGCAGCAGAGGGAATCCAAATCCCTCCCTCACGACCAGCTCTACTGCGGCGGTTTTCAAACCCAACAACTTTCCGATGGGCGAACCTCAACTCCCAGAACCCGAAGAGGGTGAACGTCCTTCAAGTCCTGACTCAGTTTCCTTCTGGGATTGCTTTTCCCCTCTCTTCTCTGGTCACCTGCCTTGAGATACCAGGGATGTCAAAAAAAAAGGGGGGACGAGATGCTGGCTTATGACTGTAGGATTTCCTTTCCCCCCCCACTTTCAAAATGCACACCCTCCTAACGTATACAAGCCAGGCTTTGATGACAAGATCACAGCCAGGCTCAATTAAGAATGGAAAGGGGAAATCCCGAGGCTCGGCTGGACAAATTATTTGCACGAGCGACGGAAGGAATAACCAGGAAGACCAAAACAAAAACGAAAGACTGAGAACAAAAAAAAGCAAACTCGGGAAAAAAAAATTAAATTGGATTTTAAGGGGGGGGGAGGTCTGTTTTTCTCCCACTGTGGGTGGTGATTTTTGTCCTGGTTTAGGCCAATCTTAGCCCTTGGGCGATGCCTCTCGGTGACGACAATGCTGGTGTTCACCCCAGACTGTATTGCAAATGGGGATGGTTTTGTGGTTTTTCAGACGTGCGTTGGGACGACTACCTCCAGGACGTCTCCCCCCCCCCCCCCCGCCATCCCGACAGGAGACCCTGATTGGGGAAAGCGGCTCGCCACGGGCCACAAATCTCCCAAGGGAGGAGGGAAACCAAGCCATGGAAAACAAACCCAGAGACAAACACAGGACGTAGGCCAGGGTTGGGATTCAGAGGGTTTGGACCGGTTCAGGTGAACCCGTTGTTTCGGCAATCTGTTGGCTCCGGCCACCCACCCCAGCGCTAGTCCTATATTTCCCTGTTTGGCAGCACAGCTGTTTTACTCACCGGGGGCTGCAGCAGGTTAGTTTTAGAGCTGAAGATTTGTGGTTTTCAAACGCAGTGCACGCGCAGCTCACCGACCTGGTTGTTACACCGGTTGAATCCCACCACTGGGCGTAGGGGACCCACGCAAGGGACAGAGGGTTGCAGTGGAAACCGAGGCTACCTTAACACCCAGACGGATCCGAGGTTCTCTTAAGACGGAGATTGTGCTTATTTCTCTAGGTTGCTGCCCCTCACCCAACCCCTTCCAACCACCCCTCCGGAGGAAGCCAGGCCTCCCCGTACGGAAAAGGGGTTGCACTTGCAGCAGCCCGGGCACCGGCCCAGCCAGGCCAAGGCCGTCTGTGTGGGGGGGGTGTTTCCCCGCCAAGCGCGATTGCTCATGCCATAGATTTGAACTCGAGACTAAGCAGCCCCTCCGCGGGTGGGAGAGCAGGATGATGCAACTTTCTGCTTCACTTGTCTTGGAAGAATATGGATATTTTGTAGTTCATGCGCAAAGCAGCTCGTCTTGGGCCACCCCCGCCCTTGTCGAAGGCAGCAGCTGGTGGGTGGCGGGCAGGGGTGGGGAGGGATGGGAGACGGACACGGGGGGGGTCCTCAGAGGAGCGGGAGGGAGGCGAGTCTGGTGGGGCCACGCCAGCCCTCCTATGCCCGGGACTCCTTCTTGGCGTTGGGTTTGTTCCCCAGGACTGCGTCAATTTCTTGGATGACTTGAGGGGTCAGCTGGGTCAGGACCTGTCGGGGGAGAAATTGGGGGGAGGGGGCTCAGCACGAAGAGAGAAAACAAAATTGGCTACATGCTCCTCCCAACCCCAGCATCACATCTATTATTACGGCTGCCTTCTGGGTTGTTTCGAGGGAGGGTCTCTAAAATAAAGTACAGGGACGCGTGGTGGCTCAGTGGCTCAAGACGCTGGGCTTGTCGATCAGAAAGTCCGGCAGTATTGGCAGTTTGAATCCCTAGCGCCCCGTGACGGAGTGAGCTCCCGTTCCTTGTCCGGGCTTCTGCTAACCGAGTCGTTCGAAAGCGCGCCAAAAAAAAAAAAAAAAGGCAGGTAGAAAAATAGGGACCCCTTTGGTGGGAAGGGAACAACGTTCCGTGCGCCTTCTTTGGCGTTTAGTCCTGCCGGCCACAGGACCACGGAGACGTCTTCGGACAGCGCTGGCTCTTCTTCGGCTTTTTTTAAACGGAGATGAGCACCGTCCCCCAGAGCCGGAAACGACTAGCACGGATGTGCGAGGAGGGGAACCTTTACCTGGTACCTTATAAAATTTCACGAGTGCAAAATGGCAAGCCGGCTAAAAAGCACACCTTTGGGAGGAAGGGGCAGGTGAGCCTGCAGTTTCCCCCCCCCCCAAGAACCCCCCCGATAGCCCCCCCCTTTCTCTGATTCCCTCTCAGTGTCGGGGGGGGGGGGGGGGGGGGGGGGGCTCCAGGGATGCTTGGAAGCTGGTGGTGGGAAGCTGGTGGTTCGATCTAGCAGCTGGATCTAGAACATGGATAGCAGGGCGGGAGGGAGACTGTCTTTACCCATAACTTCCATCTTTACAGGGTTAAATGCAGCCCCCACCCCCCCACTGAGCGATCGATCCCCAGATCCCTGGCCTCCTCCTCCCCCTCCCATTTCCGCAAACCCCACTCTCTCCCCTAGCACTGATAATATTACCTAGTTGGGTCGTGAAACGTCTGCAAAAACACTACCAAGCTCAGAGAGCATCAAAGACCCCACAGTCCTCCTCCTCCTCCTTCCCCCCCTCCTCCTCCTCCCATTCCCATTTCTGCAAACCCCACTTCCTCCCAAGCACTGACAGTGTTCCCTAGTTGGGTCATGAAACGTCTGCAAAAAAACCTACCAAGCTCAGAGAGCACCCAGGACCCCACAGTCGTCGTCCTCCTCTCCCTTCCCACCTCCTCCTCCTCCCATTCCCATCTCCGCTAACCCCACCTAGCACTGATAGTGTTACCTAGCTGGGTCATGAAACGTCTGCAAAACAACTACCAAGCACCCAAGACCACCCCCCCCCCGGGGCCTCCTTCTCCTCACCTGAATGGATCCCAGGTTCTCAATGAGCTGCTCGGTGCTAGAGACCCCCAGAAGCACGGAACTGACCCCTTCCGAGCGGAGACACCAGGCTGTGGGGGGGAAGAAAAATCCCCCGCCCAGAAATAGGTCAGAAAGGAACAAGTTTAGCATCTTCTCCCCACCTTTCTAAAATCACTGCTCAGGTGTGAGTGTGATCACTGCGTCTCATCTCCGGTGCATCCAGAGACCGTTTTCGGCAGGTCCTTCCTTGCTGTGAATCTGCTCCAGGGGCCGTTTTCGCAGCCCAAGAGGGTCACAGCTAAAGCATCAGAAACCAAAAGAATGTTTCTGACATAATCACATCTATTCACACTTTCACTCGTCTCAGATACTCTTTGGAATCACCATTCTTGCCTATTTTCCGCTTCCGCGGTTTAAACTAGAATTGTGGCTTTTCCTGGGGTGGCTTTTCTTGCTTAACAGAATAACAGAGTTGGATGGGACCTTGGAGGTCTTCTAATCCAGGGGTCGCCAACCTTTTGGACCTCAGGGACCACCAAACTCATCATTTTAAATCCTCCAGACCAGAGACCCTGGCAAAAACCCTCCAAAAGTCTGCAGGAAAATTCCCCACCCCGTTTTCCTAGTGATCAATCGTTCTTTATTTGGGATCGCAGGATACTGTCTCCATTCTCAGGGGGAGGGAGGGAGAGAGAGAGACTTTTGGCTTCATGCAAGGAAAGCAGCAGAAGCCGCAGAATTCTTTCTTTTTCTCCCCCAAACTCCGCCAGAAATGAGTCTTTGTGAGACTTGTCGCACCGGCGCAGCCTCTTGGAGCAGGAGGCCTTGCAGGATCCCAAAGACTCATTTCTTGGGGGAGAGAAGGAAAGACTTTGGCCGCTTTCCTTGCGTGCAGCCAAAAGCAGAAGAAGAAAGAAGCGGAAAGAAGCAGCCCGGTGGCCAGGCCAGGCGCGTGGGGGGAATGGGGCAAGTTCCCCCCTTCCGCCCTTTCCCCCCTTCCCTCACTACCTTGTGTTGTCCGCAATGCAAGCGACACAAGCCTTGTGTTCCTGCGGGCCATGTGGGTAGCACAGCCTTGTGTTCCCACACAGCCTGGATTAATTGCTTTGGGGGTGTGACATTTCTCTGTGGACCACCCAAATTTTCCCACTGGTTGGCGACCACTGCTCTAGTCCAACCCGTTGCTCAAGCCAGAGACCCCTATACTATTTTAGATCAATGGTTGCCCGGTCATTTCTTAAAAACCTCCGGTGTTGGAGCACCTGCAAAATGAATACCCAACCCAACCACTGAGGAACGCAGTGACAAAAATGGCCGTGCAATATAATCCGTGGGCAGCCTGCAGTTGCGCACTCCTCCGAATGATTTTCAAAAGACCTTAACCCGTTGCTTGGAGAACGTTTCACCCTGGGGCCAGTGGTTAGCCAGAAAATGCCGGGGCTGGGCCTCGTCCCCCATAGACGGAAGCCCCACGGAGAAGGCCTCGTCCGAATCCCCGGACGGAGAAGAACGACGCCTGCCTTGGGGTGTTGTTATAAAGGGACACCGTGACACCACTCAGTCTAACCTTTGCTGTTTGCTTCTGTTAAGAATTGCTCGCGCTATTTTGCTACGGTTAGGAATTATTCGTCAGGATTTAATTCTGTAACCCTCCCTTCTTAAGAATTGTATCCTTTGCTATCTGGTTCCTCGCTTCTGTTATTCGCTTCAAAGCTAGGTGAGACAGAACAAAACAGTTGCCCAGGAACATCCTGCTCCATAGACAAACGGGCAGGGTTGGGTGATGCTACCGGTTCACCCTGGTTCGGGTGAACCGGTAACTAATTTTATCATTTTTAATTACCGGTTCAGCAAACCGGCAAATCCCACCCCTGGCTGGCCCCACCCCCCACTTCCCTCCCAGGAGTCACCACGCGGCCGGTTTTGGATGCCAGGGCCCACGCGGAAGGGAGGGCGAAAAACAGGCCTCCCAGTGGCTACAGAAGGCCAGAAATGGACCCGTTTACGGCCTTCGGAGGGCCCCCGGAGCCTGGGGAGGCCGTTTTCACTTTCCCAGAGGCTTGAGGATGGAGGAGGATGAAAATGCCCCCCCACCCCGGTGCAGGAGGCCAAATAGGCCACGCCCACCCAGCAACCAGGAAGAGAAACCGGTTGCTGAAATTTTCGAAGCCCACCCCTGCAAACAGGGCCAGAGAAGGGTGCCTAGGAGCACGGACACACAAGGCTACAAGGAATGTCCTGTAAGATAGCAAAGAGCATGGACAGAGCATGGACAAAGGATGCTCCATGGATAATTGCACGGTGGGGGGGAGGCATGGACAAGACATTGCCATGTTGGGTAACAAACTTTTATTTCTAATTGGCTAAATTTGGGTATAAGACATTGGGGCTACACTCACTTAGGCGCGGCTTTTTTTCCTTGCATACTTTTTGTCTGTATGCACGTGGAATAAGTCTACCCAGCTCTTCTTTGTACAAATAAAAGCTGTTGCTTTTTAAAGCCTCTCCTTGAGTCTCACTATCTTTGGCGCCTCGGAGACTCAGGTAAACTCTGGGACCTTACAGTTACAAAAAGGGGACGTGCACACCCACCCATCCTCCAGCATCCTCACCAATGGCCAGCTGCGCCACGGTGCATCCCAGGCGTTCGGCGATGGGCTGCAACGCTTTCACTTTGCTTTGCTGCTTCTTCCCATCTTCACTCTGCAGCTTCTCCTTCAGCCACTGGTAGCCCTGAAAAAGGAGGAGAGGGCCGAGAGCGTCACGGAGGGTCCTTATTGACCAGCAGGCTGTGAACCTCAGCTTAGCTCACTGAATATCTGTGTCAGGGTTCCAGCGATTGCCCTCATTAAATCATGAGCCTCGGGCCAACCTTCAAAAGATTTCAAAAGATTTATTAGGAGCAACATGCCGGCATTAACCTTGATGGAGCCAATTCTGGCATACGTAATTTACAGTCACCTGTGACCCTGTTTCCCCCCCCCAACCTCTCCCCTGGGTGTATCATAAGATTCTCCAATGAAGCATGTCCATGGGCTGGATGTCATCAACCACATTCTCCAATGAAGGATTTTAGTGGGAAGAAGATCCGGTAGCCTAGCTACAACCTTTTAAAGATAAGAGAGGAATGTATTTCTGGGTTTTAAATTGCCATAATGCTCCTTCGGAGTTCCACCCCTCCCCCTTGTTTATGGCAACTCGAAAACAGGCATAGGAATGTTTTACGAGTTGACAATCTGTTTGGAGCAAAACGATCCCACCCTAACCCTTCTGGGGATTAAAAAGGATCTCCTAGGTTGATGAGTCAGTTGTGAGACTTGGAGATACAATGAAGCCTCGGCTGAAGACAGAATTTGGGGTAGGGGGGGAGGAGAGCTTAAGAGGTGATTTCACTAGTGTCACTTACCACCGGCAAAACTAACCAACATGTTTAAAAACATGTCCGCTAAATGTTGGAAACGAAATCAAATTCCGGGCACATGCTACCACATGTGGTGGACATGCCCAAAAGCAAATAAATAAATAAATAAATAAATCTGGGCGAAAATACATACATGGTTGGAAAAAAGAGTTAAGGCAGCATATATACAAACCAGAATTGTTTTTTGTGAGGCATAATATCAGAAAAATATGATAAGGGAAATGTATATTTAATATTACATGTTTTGACAGTGGCACAAATTGTATTTGTGCAGTACTGGAAAAAAGGAAACACCTACAGAAGAAGAGATCATTAAAAAAAATTAGGCTGTGCAGAAATGGACAGACTAACAATGAAGATAAAAGAAAAGAAGACACAGAATATTTTCAAACTTGGGGTTTGTTTGATCAATGGTTGGATAATAGAAGTAGAAATTAGGAATTTAATATTGTTATGTAAATAAACTGACCCAGACAGTACACTGTTCACTAAGCAATTATTGTATACAAAGAGAAAATATATAAATAAATTTTTTTAAAAGAGAGGATTTCACCTCACTTCTGGATCCAAGTTTCATGACGCTAAGCTCATGATCGGGATGAAGCATAATAAGGGCTTAGCGCTCCTTGGGCTTAGTGAAAAAAACCAAAAGGAAATTTAGAATCTAGAATGGAATAATGATTGGGAGTCAGCAAACCAATATTGTTAGGAATTTTGCCCTGTCAATGCCACCTTCTCCAACGTGGTGCCTTCTTCCCACACATGAACGATAAAAATATTTTCATTAACAACTTAGAGGAGGGAATAGAAGGGGAACTTACCAAATTTGCAGATGATACTAAGCTGGCAGGAATAGCTAACACCCAAAAAGACAGGCTCAAGATCCAGATGGATCTTGACAGACTTGAACCCTGGACCATATTTAACAAAATGAAATTCAACAAGGAGAAAAGGAAAGTCCTACACTTAGGCAAGAAAATCCAAAAGGACACATACAGACTGGGTGAAACCAGGCTCAGTAGCAGGAACTGGGAGAGGGATCTTGGAGTCTTAGTGGACAACCAGCTAAATAGGAGCCAGCCGTGGGCAGCAGCAGCCAAAAAAGCTAATGCAATCCTAAACTGCATTAATAGAGGGATACAATCAAGATCAAGGGAGGTACTAATACCACTCTATAAAGCCTGAGTAAGGCCACACCTAGAGTCCTGCATCCAGTTTTGCTCACCACATTATAAAAAAGAGGTTGAGACTCTAGAAAAAGTGCAGAGAAGAGCAACCAGGATGATGAGGGGACTGGAGACTAAAACATATGAAGAACGGTTGCAGGAACCGGGCATGGCCAGTCTAAGGAAGAGAAGGACCAGGGGAGACAGGAGAGCAGCCTTCCAATATTTGAGGGGCTGCCCCAGAGAGGAGGAGGAGGGGGTCAATCTATTCTCCAAGGCACCCAAAGGCCAGACAAGGAATAAAGGATGGAAACTGAACAAGGAGAGATTCAACCTGGAAATAAGGAAAAACTTTCTGACAGTGAGGACAATCAACCGATGGAACAGAAGTTGCCTTCAGAAGTTGTGGGAGCTTCATCCCTGGAGGCTTTCTAGAAGAGATTGGACTCCCATCTGTCAGAAATGGTGGAGGGTCTTCCGCTTGGGCAGGGGGTTGGACTAGATGACCTATAAGGTCCCTTCCAACTCTGATTATCTGTTATCTGTAAACCCTAACAGTTTGTTTGTTTGTTTATTTCTTTGTCAAGCAAGTATTAGATAACAGGTGTAAGTATAAACATGATTATGAACACATGAAATGGATATGAATAAAAGGGGAACATTGGGACAGGGACGGTAGCCATGCTGGTGCACTTATGCATGCCCCTTGCAGACCTCTTAGGAAAGGGGTGAGGTCAACAGTAGAAAGTCCAAGGTTAAAGTTTTTGGGGATTGGGGTAGAAACCACAGAGTCAAGTAGTGAATTCCAGGCATTGACCACTCTGTTGCTGAAGTCGTATTTCCTGCCATTGAGTTTGGTGCGGTTTACCCTGAGTTTGTATCTATTGTGTGCTCGTGTATTGTTGTGGTTGAAGCTGAAGTAGTCATTGACGGGTAGCACATTGCAATGAATAATTTTATGTACTACGCTTAGCTCGGACTGAAGGCGGCGTAGTTCTAGGTTGTCTAAAATGTCAAGCCCTGGTGGCATAAGGTATTCTGTTGCGGGTAGATGAGTGAAGAACTCTTCTCGTGAAATATCTCTGGACTCTCTTGACTGTATTAATATCCTATATGCAATGCGAGTTCCAGACAGATGAGCTGTACTCGAGAATTGGTCTAGCAAATGTTTTGCATGCTTTAGTTAGTAGTGTAATAGTATTGGAGAAAAAGCTACGCAGGATTAGGTTAACACTTCTTAATACCTTTTTGGCTATGTAGCTGCAGTGCGCTCCAAGTTTGCCTATGTAGTTACAGATAACAGATAATCGGAGTTGGACGGGATCTTGTGGGTCATCTAGTCCAACCCCCTGCTCAAGTTGAAGGCCCCAAGTTGAGGACGGTGGCTTGAAGGCGCTCTGCATCTCACTTACTTTGGCCATGTCATACGGGGGGGGGGGGATTTTACCGGAAAAAGCAATTATGTTTGGAAGAATTAGTGGTTAAAAGAAAACTAGGTGGCCAAAAAACCCATGATGGCTGGACACCCTTCAAAGCTGATACCAGCCAGAGCATATAAAACTCAAAGAAGAAGTCTTTGCAAGGTTGGAGGACACGCAAAAGAATATGGTGAATTTTCTTAATATAAATGGTGATAGTTGACAAAAATGATTAAATCCGAATAGAAACACTATTTCCACAGCAAGGAAGGTAAAGCAGAAATGGTTGCAGTGTTTTATTCAAAGAGAATATATTTAATTATGTCTTTTAATTTGGAAATCACTTCTGGATTTTGTGCTGATCAAAAAGGAAACTTTGGTTTTGCCGATTACATATACATGTTAGATATTAGATATGTACACAAACACACACACACACACACACACACACAAACACACTAGTTTGATACCCGTGCTTTGCTACGAAACTATGTGATCGGCTTAGTTTTTTGGGAGGGAAATAAGGGGGGGGAAATTCTGACTCTGCCTACCAGCATCCATTGGTATTCATCTGGCTAGCATCCAGTCAGTGTATGAGAGAGTTGAGGGCTGTTTGGAAACTGAAACAGTATTTGCTGTGTGAGCAAGGAGACAGCAAGGAACCTGGGCGTGGCTTAGCTCAACTGTTCTGTACTAAAGCTGCTTGCTGCTGTGAAACTGAAACTCCTCTCCCCTGGTTGTGTTTTGCCTTCGGAAGAGATTTATTTTCAGGTGGGGAGGGGGAGTAGAACTCATTAGCATCAGAGCCTGTTAATAATAATAATAATAATAATAATAATAATAATAATAATAATAATAATAATAATAATAATAATAATAATAATAATAATAATAATAATAATAATAATATAGGAAATACTCTAAATGCTCTGAGGGTCATTTGGAAAAAATCCCTTCTTAGCGAGCCCCTAGAAGCCAAGAGGAATAGACGTGCCCAATTTCAAGTTTGTAGGGTTTACGGTTCTGGAGATTTTGTGATGATGCGTGAGGAGGGGCCTTTTGCTTTTATATATATATGTGTGTGTGTGTGTGTGTGTGTGTGTGTGTGTGTATATATATATATATATATATATTTGTTTTCTGAGGTTCTCGCGGGTATTTGTATGTGGATCTTTGGTTATTCGGGTTTTCTCCCGCGTAAGATTCAAAGTATCTAGGCAACGTTTCGGCGAGGTCCCACTCGCCATCTTCAGGCTGGTGCTTTCGGCTTAGTGCCAGTGCAAGCAGTGTGTGACCGGAGCTGCCATCTCTCTATATATACAAGTGGTGGGGGATGGTGTGCTGGGCTGGTTGGCTGTGCTGCAGCCTCTTGATTGGTTGATGGAGTTGATGTTGGTATAATGGGCTGTGTAATGGCCTTTTGTTGTAGAGATATCCTGGATCTTGTGCTGTCATCTCCTGGGTCGTTAGCCTCTTGTGTTTTAACGGCTTGGGTAATGGGTTGTGTGATGGGCTTGTGAGTTCTTTTGTTGTGGTATCCTGGGTCTTGCGTTGTAATCTCCTGGGTCTTGCGTTGTAATCTCCTGGGTCGTTTGTGTTTTGATCTCTTTTCCATTAGCCTCCTGTGTAGTAACAGCTTGGGTAATGGGTTGTGTGATGACCTTGTGAGATTTATTGCTGTGGTATCCTTGGTCTTGTGCTGTGATATCCTGGGTCATTTGCTGTGTT